TCCGCCTTGACCTCCCATTCCGTCGCACCGACCCGACCCGCAATCTCAGTTTGCCGCTGCTTGCCCATATTCAACCATAGACGCAATAGATTGCCATCAACCATTCCCCGGCCCGCAGCGCCATCACTTTCAATAGCCCGGAAAGCACGCGCGTTCAGACCGGCAGGGTGGTCAACGGTGTTGATCAGCTGAGACTGTAGTGCCGATAGTCGACGGTATGACTCCTCGGCAACCGAGGTAACAAGCGCCAAAGACCCGTTTTGCGAAGCGATGAGAACCTGGTGTCTGGCGAAGGTCTCATCCACGTCCATTCCTTCTTCGGATGACTCGGTGTGCTCCGATGAAACTGCTGTGCGAGGCAGAAGGGTCACCGATGATGCGAAATTGCCGGTGTAGAATTTGCTTCGGCTGAGCAGTCGATCGCCGTTGGAGGACTTGGGGTCTTCGGGGTCATACTGCAGGACGTGCAGGTTGCAGTCGCTGTCAGCGACTAGCATGTACAGCTTGTTTCCGTCCGGGAGGAAGTCGGCTGCCACCACCTCCAAGTATTCGGGGTCTTTGCCGAAGAGTGTCATTCTATATGGCTCCTCTGAGTAGCCGGCGAACCAGAGTCCTTTCACGGCATCTCCCAGGATAACCATGCCGGTGCCCTTGAGCTCTTTCGCAACATTGACGTAGCATTGCATGTCCATAAATGCAACGGGAAGCAGGCTCCCGTCTTCCTTGAGACCTCGAACCATGCACTTCTGTCCCTGGGCCACGATTATGAACCCTTGACCACCGATGCCAGACAGTGCGGTCACTGCACCCTTCACTGACTCCTTGCCAATTAGCTTGAGTTTGCGGCCTGTCTCTGGCTTTTCGGGGTCCGGGGCGACTTTGATCACATCAAAGACATAGATCGTCCCGCGAGCTGGCATATCTTCCCCCTTAGCAATGGCGGTTCCGACGACAATTAGATCCCTCCGCTCGTGCGTATTCTCCGAAACCTCAATATTCACGTTTTTCACTGCTGTCACCTGCTCATCGGGATCCAGAGGGTAACTATAAATATTAGCATTCGGGCTCGTCACGTCTCGAGCTTTGTGGGAGTTCTACCTGTCAATGATGGTCCATGTCTTGGGACTGACGACCTTGATGCTGCTTTCGGGTATTTTCGGACAGAATGATAGCTCTTGAGATAATTAGCACAGCATGATTGGAAACGCTTGAAGCAGTCACGAACCTTCATTCCGCCACTCAGGGTGCAGGTCGTCACCCTCCGGCAACTTGAAGTCTCCTTGGCGGCTTGTGCCGAGAACATACGTCTCAGAAGACGTCGAGTAGGCCAAGAAATCGACTTGCTCTTCAATTGGAACTTTGCGCAATGTCCACGGATAGTCAAATTGAGTTTGGGAAGGTAGTTGACAAGCCCGGACACAGCTCTACAAAGAGAGAATTAGTAAATGTAGATCGCATCACAGCTCTGGATGAGAAGGCTCACCTGAGAATCAATGTAAATGAACCCATTCTCACACCCAGTATCGACCGAATCAAATGAACTTAGCCAACGTGTAAGGCCTCCTCTAAGACGAATGATGTGCGGTGAGCTCTTTGCTGTCCTAAAGACAAAGCTCGATGAAGCTCCCGGCATAAATATGGTACTAAACCCTGAGATATTGGGAAGGACCCTCAGCGGCCTCGATCGCTGTTGCTTCTGTGTTCGAGAGGATACCTCCCCTGAAGGGCTTTTTGGTAGAGCATGATTTGACTCTCGGAATAATTGCAAGCGAGATGATCCATGACCATCATTTGCCGGGATTAGGTTTGGTTTGTAGAACACGAGATCATCAATTTGGGTTCGAACCTGGAATGCTTGAGTCAGAGATCAGAAAAGCCACGGACCGACAAAGATTTCTTACAATCAGGTAAGGTGAAAGACTAGAACTATCACCAAGATTGGCAACAACAAATTCTCTCAGGTCTTCGCGAGAATTGGATCGTTTGGGCGGCTCGGTCGACAACACGGGTGGTAAGCAGTCGACGCCTTCAATGATCGCGATCAACTTCATGTCAGAAAGTCGGAAGATCTGTATTACTATGTCAGAACCAATGCCTGAATCTTCTTTTCGTGACGACTTACCGATAGCTTAGACTCCAGATTCAACAGGAATAGAAGTACCTCGCCTTCGGAAGAGCCCTTCGACGATGAGCCTGCAACGCTGAATGACTGTGAATTATCGTGATAAAGGCATCCGGAGTGCCATAATGACGAGCTAATCTCATTCGAAATCGAAACTTCATCGAGGTCACCACTTTCATCCGCCTGTAGGAGCAATACTGATGAATCGTCCCGAATGATCACAAGGTAAGGATCTATAAAACTTGCGCTCGCAGCCAGGGGCTCATCACTGGTGTCTTCATCCCAAACGGGGTAAATCTGTGACAGTCCGAGGTCTGTAGAGTTTCACCATTAGCTTATGCAAATGCTTGCTAGCACGCTGGAGTAGAATGCACCTATGTCGTAGCTTCTGACTTCATTCCGCAGAACCTGAACTAGACGAGTATTGTCTGCCAAAGATCCAATATCGACCGTGCAATCTTCGTTTGTGTTGAATTCTGGTGCCTTAAAAGGCTTCAAGCTCTGTTCTTCCACGATGAAGACCTCGTTCACCTCCTGATCCGAATCCGTAGACCGAGAGATAACCACATATTGACAAGACGGGTTGTCTGTGCTGGAAGCCCCTCTCCTTTTTTTGACGCTGGCTGACCAAACACCATCCGCATCATCGACTTTCAGACACATGGTAGTCAAAGGATCAATTTCACGCTTGATGACTACCAAGCCACCGCCTCTGTCTGAGCCCTGAGACGCCACCAACTCCAGTCCTGCGGCAACATTTTCAACTGTAGCTTGGCTCTTGCGATTAGTATTCGAGAAAGCTTTGCCCAAAGTGATGTCCCTCAGTGGCCCAATGCTAGAAAGTTGATCGTTCAGCCGAAAGTTATAAAATTCGGGGGTTGAGTTGTCGGTTCCCATGCGGTTGTCGACTTGTGTCGGCCCAGGCGCCGAGGAATAAAGGTCGTCATCCTCCATCTGGTCATCGTCATCCGAAAGATCATCAGGACCATCGGCTGTTTGTTTTGACTCAAGCCGAGCCCTTTTAGTGGAGGCGGATGAATGCGACCATTCTAGGAGCACCGAGTCGGCATCTTCGCTGCCGATGAAGACGTTCCCACCCCCGAGACAAGTGGAGCATGAGGCGACCGACTTCAGAATATCTCCACCCGCATGCGCCGGAAGGGAGTGAACAGTGATGCCGCTGACCGACCGACCATCGAGTTTGAATTTGACCAGTGCCATGTCGCCGGATGCAAGCGCCAGGAGCAGGTCACCACTATCACCACCCAGTCGCTCAACCACGCAGCCTTCGAGGCGGAACGCCAAGTCCGATTGGTCGGTCATTGAAAATGAAGAGACCTGCCTTGAAAATTCGTTGACTCCCACCGCATTGGTTTTACCGGCTTGGTCCACATGAACAATTTCATTTGAGCCAAGAAGCAAGGCACCTCCTACTGGAAGTGGGAGTGCCACTACCTTGAACAGATCACTAGGAAGACGAGATACCGAAAGAAGGGTGGTAGAAGCTCGCTGTTCAAGGTCCAGCGTAAACACAGCGTAGAATACAACGTCCTTTCTTTCATGAAGGAGGGCAGTAGAGGTTGCGACTTGAGAATATAAAATTCCAAATGTCGGCTCCCGGTATTCATATAGGAACGCAAGACTTATGGGGTGTAGCAATGAAGGATCCAAGGCCGTCAATGGCAGAACGAAAGAAGAGGAGTAGGGTGTTTGATGCGCTGGTTCTTCTTTGCTCTTCCCGATCTGTGCCCCTCCACCAGAGCTCTGGTTTGGGCGTTCTCCGTCAAGCTCCGAATCGTAGTCATCCATCACCAAATCATCACCCGCCTGATGAAAGGGCAAAATCGCAAGGTTGCGAATTCCGAAGTTGTACACCGCGCATCTACTGCTTGGGTCAACGCTCAGAATGCTCCCACACCGGCTCAGGTCAGGCACCCAGGGGCTGCGGTTCCGATCATCCCGCTCGTAGTAATGGATGGAAATTGTTGATATTCCATGACGCTCAGGGTCCCACTCAATCAAGCTGAGCTTGGCATTGCGGACTGCAATCAATATGGCTTCTCCACCACTCTTGGTGTTCAAGATTTTGACTCGGCTTAAATCAGTCACGGTTCCGGATAGTGGGTATTCTTTTTCCAGTACTAATTTCGTTCCTCGCTGAGAAAATTGTGAAGAATGAGGCTCTGAGCCTTCCTTCTGTGGTTGAGAGGAGACGACCTTAACGAGAGAGAAAACCTGCAATAGAGAGGTTCTGACAACAACCAAATTGCTGGCGGTTGCTGAGATGAAAGGAACTGCCAAAGCATGGGTGACCCCCGTGGGGGGTAATAACTCTGTGTAACACTGCATTTGAAGATTTCGTCCACCGTCAGAGCTCGAAAAAGGCTTGATACTGCTAGAAAACTGCCAATGAGCTAAATTGTGTTTTTGATATGGCCTGAGATGCACATTGCAATTGCAAACCTAGGGGCGGGAAACTGAGAATGTGAAGCCGTGTAAGCACAAAAAGAGATGATGCAAACAAAAGCTTCAATATAGACACGAGAAGCGATCAAGATCAAGATCAAGATTGATCTCTATCTTGTGTAGTTCAAGTTTGTAGCTCCTTTGATGGGAGCGGGTCAGTTGACCGGTCTGGCAGAATATAGCGGTCAATATATTCTGCCTGATAAATCCTACCGCCATTTGCTGCAGAGGCCTCAAAATGGTTTAGCGTTGAATTACCAATGACGACAGAGGCGATCGCCAGCTTCGGAAGGGAATCTTATTTGATATTATTGTAGGTCTCATTCCTGGCATCATTCCTTCAGTGTTCTGCTAAGAGTGTGGATGCAGAACTCATGACCAATGTGCACAGTTTGACCTGCTATCCTTTAATATGGCACTCCTTCAGACTTCCCTCATCTGGGCTGTGTATGGGGTCGTGGTAGCTATTCTACTGGCAGTGGCGTCTGTGTTTATCTATGTCTACCAAACCCCCCGCGACCGCTCTTCTTCGGTCACTCTGACTTGTATCATCTCGATTACTAGTCTTCTCGCAACGGTACTCTTGCTGCCTGTCGATGTTGCTTTGGTGTCTTCGACTACGTCATCCAAATTAGGCCAGCGAAAGGACTGGGCAACACAGGATGTGGTGGACAGAATCACTTATTCCTTGACCATCATCTATTACCTTCTCTACTCCTTGGATGCCTTGCTCTGTCTTCTGGTCATTCCCTTCACATATTTCTTGTATGAGGAATATGATGAGGTCGCGACCGAGGAGGGGGACCAAACTTTGGGCCAACGGATTTGGGGTGCCCTTAAATACACGCTCTCATTCGTTGCAGTCGTCGTGACCTTGTTCCTAGTTGGTTTCTTCGTCCCAGTGTCACGGGGGAAGAATGACATGGATCTGGGTTACTTCAGGCGCTTACTGACTGAAAACCGTGAGTATTCGAGTATCCTGGAATTAGACAGAACTGTGAAGCTGACGTAACTCTGAAAAGATGGCGAGCGTGCTCTCACTTTTGCTCTTGGTCTGTTGATGACAATTGGGCTCTGTCTTTATGTCTTATACACATCCGTGGGGCTGGCCCTTCTTCCGATAAGCTTGATGAAGACTGCACCATCCATCTCTAGTGCTACCTTGCGAGCGAGCACTGCACAACAACTCGAGGTAAACCAAGAGCGACAACGGCAGCTCGAGGGACGATGTGCCGGAGATCCCGAGCTTCTGTCCTCCAAGGACCGCCGAGAACTTGATACACTGGTGCGGGAAGAGAGGACCCTGATTCGGCGCCAACGTCTAGCCGAAGAATCCCAAGGCGGAGGCCGCAGCTGGTTGATAAGGGCATGGTACAAACTCGGGGCAGTGTTCCGTCCTTTCAAGCTCCTTGGAGGCATCTTGCTACTATTCATTGCTTTCCTCACTTGGGTATCCATGCTCTTGACGGCAATTGACAAAGCAAAGAACTCGATTTGCAAGCATCGTTGTGGATATATCCTCGCACGTGTGAACATCTTTAACCCAGTCAACTGGGCACTTGTTAAATCCGCCAGGTTCTTCCCCATTGACTACGGTATCTTTACCGCACTTGTATTACTGTTTTTCTGCAGTTCTGTGGTTGGAATTGCTGTGATCGGAATCCGCTTCCTATGGATTAGGATTTTCCAAATCAGACACGGCCACACATCTCCCCAGGCTCTACTCTTAGCCACCGCCATGTTGATGCTGATCATTCTAGCACTGAATTATTCCATTTCGATGGTAGTCGCCCCCCAGTATGCCACGTTTGGCCCACAGACATTCTGTGATCGGGCCCCGGGGACTTTCATCGGAAAGCCAGATTGCTCAAACAGCAAAGAACTTATCAAGCCATGCTCAGAGTTGGCAAAGAATCCTGCTGCGCAGCAAGTCTGCACACCCAGTGTCGTGAGCACCTTCTTGAACCGGGTCACCCTGAACTACCCATTCTTTGGAGTGGTGTTCTTTTGGGCTCAGTTCTTCTTCCTAGGTAAGTCTAAATCTTGTCTTGTTCCGTTCCCATCAGAATTCCATGTCGCATTGATCTAACACCAACACCACAGGCTTATATCTGATCGTCGTTGTTACTTCCCTTCTCCGTTCACCTCGGTTGGACGAAGCCCAACTCGATGGAGATGCAGAGGAAGCCGAGGAGGAAGGTTTATTGGCCAATACCGGCAGACGGTTCAATGCCAGCTGGCAAGATATAACAGGGAGAGCTGCCCGGAGTGAACGTTCTCGGGGATAATCACTTACAAATGATGGTGACTACCCAGAGTGCAGAGCATCATACCTAGGTAGTCACCGACGCTACCAGAGAAATTAACTCGTAATCATTTTACTTGCAATAATAATCGGGGACATTCCCAGCAATCTCATTTGAATGACATGAGGAATTTCAATGGTTTTTCAATCGTCTTTTTATCTTCACTTGTAGGACATTTAATTTTTGTTCTTTCCTTTTTCCTCTTTAAGCCATCATCTAAGTGAGGAAATACATAATGGATGGCTTCTTGCATCTTTCAATTCCTGTCTCCTGCAAGATCGATTCTCAGATCGAAGGGGTAGGGTAACATAGACTCATAATTCATAAATATCGTGTCGCTCTCGTGCTTAAATCTTCATCTGATCGTTTAACAAGGCGAGAGCATTTTGGAAAGCCTTTACTACTTCCACATCTTTAGATAGATGAGCGATCAGAACAGAGCTTGTTTTCAAGTCGAAGACGATAAAATGCGGACTTACAATGCTTCTTTTTGTTTTCCACATTGACTTCGGAATTTTGGACGTGCTGCATCTGGGTCTTGAACCTGTAGAGAATTTAACTATGCGTTCGTTATCTTAGGCCAAAGCTGGATTTGATCGAACCTTTTCAAAGCCCTGTTCTCATCTTGCGAAACGGTAGTTTGAGACCATGCCATGAAAACCTACCGGTTGCTCAGTCACAAAATTATAAGTAGAACGTGCTTCTAGGACTTACTTCAAGAAGCTTTGCCGTTTCAACACGAAGATTCTCTTCGACTCGGCCATGTTCCTCCATTGCATCGGCATATTTCCCCTGCAGTTGTTCCCAGTTGCAGTCTTCAAGTCCTTGTGTCAATCCAGAGACAAGTGGGATTTCATCTTGAATAGGAGCAGATGTAGGAGCTTCAACTGCTGATTGTGGCGACTGGGTGCTTTTGTTCTCTTGGAAGCTCCCACTGCCTGGAGGGCTTTTGCTTCCTTGACTGACCCGGGGTGACATTGTCCCCGGTCGAGGGATTTTGCTGGTCCTGTTTGGTGTTGACGACATACTGAATTTGTTGGCTTCATATGAAGATGTATCAGAATACAGCCATATCAAAATCAATGATTTTCAGTGGAATTTGGAGTCACTTTTGTTTTGATTCGTGGATGTTTCCTATCCAAAATGAGAGATAAGACTGCGATAACGGAGCATCAGGTGACGTCGACAAGTGCATGTGCACATCATCCCGTCTTCTCTTCTCTTTCTTTCTCTAAAGATTGGCTAAAGATGTTTTGAGGCCGGTCATATTCTTTATATCAACATATTATTCGAGTCATGTGGGATTCGCATCTCTTTGATGACCCCTTCTCACTCCTCTATATGGTCCTCGGCGGCGACTCAAGTAGCACCCATAATTATCCTGGAACGCAACATGGAAATGTCCCTTACGCTCTCAAGAAACAGCTGGAAATAAAATCGAATTGTCTGCGATGAGCTGTTCCATATGCTCGCGTGCCCCTCATTCCCGCCTTTCTTTCCACTGTCCGACATGTGCCCGCAATCAGCTATATCAACTACGAATCGACAGCACCCACGTTCTTCTGGAGAAAGAAGTCCTTGGAAAGCAAATCGAAACCGCTGTCACCTGTGGTAGCCGCTGGGATCCGCCTTCCCCACATGAACGAGACCTGCTCGACACAGACAAAGCTTGCTCTCCCCGCTGGGTCCTCCAAACGGTAAGCACTCGACATGCAGTATCTTTGGCAAAGAGGGAATTGGTTTCGCATCAGCTTGAGGCTTTGAAAATAGAGGTCGAAGACAAAAGGGCCCAGATTGCAAAGCAAAAAGAAGTCCTAGCACGCAGACGGTCAGATGCTGAATCTGCCAAGTTTCAACTAGAAGAGCGGGAAACTGGGATCCTGGCGGGCGTTCAAAATACCAGCAAACGGGTGGAACATGTCTGGCATTCCCTCCATAGCAAGACGGCAGAGTCACGTATTTATCTTTGTCGAGAAGTTGCCAATCTCTATGGCCTGCGGAAGACTACGAAGAAGGGCCAAGGTCGGGAGACATATGTGCTTGGATGTGGTTTTATCGTTGACTTGAGGGATATGAACGGCAAGTTTCCACCGGCCCGAGGTGGCTTTAAAGCAGTCATTCATTCCGTCGCATACTAACAAGGGCGGAGTACAGGTATTCCACATGAACAGATATCCACGTCTTTTTCTAACATAGCTCATCTTCTGATCATTGTCTCACACTATCTCTCCTTGAGACTTCCCGCCGAAATTACATTGCCTCACAAAAACTATCCTGTGCCTACAATCTATACCCCCTCAGCATCATATCGCTCGCGCGACGGTCACGATGGAGCTGATTACCCGTCTTCGTTGAGTCCAGCTGCATCAAGGACGGTGGACCCTCGCATCCACACACCACGCCCGCGGCCTCTCTTCATCGATAAGCCTCTACCCCGGTTAGCGAAGGAGGATCCCGCAACATACGCCTTCTTTCTTGAGGGAGCCACGCTCCTGGCATGGAATGTTGCATGGTTATGTCGAACTCAAGGGATAAACCTCTCATCGGACTCTTGGGAGGAAGTCTGTGATATTGGAAAAAGCTTGTGGCAACTTCTGGTTGCTCCGCCAGCCCATCCTTCGACTCTGATGCGAGCTTTTGCCGGCCGAGACACGCAGACACAAATGAAATCTGCCAAGGATTCTCCCAGAACCACGATCCAGCGGACAACTTCCTTTCCCATGTTGGGTCACTATTCTCATGGCACGGCACATTCTTTCCTGGGAGCATCGGAAGGAGTTGAATTCATGCGAATATGGAAACTCCCAACCCCAACCAAGATTGTGGATAAATTGAAGTCCAATCTTCTAGGGGAAATGGCCAGCGCGGAATGGGAATTGCTAGAAGAAAAAGAATGGGATGATGCCGCCACGGATTCTTCTCAGTCCTCTGCCCGGCAAAGTCGCAAGGTCATTGTCCCGGGCTCTCAATCTGGATCGGTGGAAATAGACAGAACTACTACAAAAGCACGTTCTGGGAGGACTCAAGGCAATGAGGATGCCTCTTCCCCGCGACCCAAAGGCACCAAAGGATGGACTAAGGTAGCAGGTAGAGGACATGGATCAGTCTAAATATTTATTCCATCTGGGCATGTATCACACATGTCACTTCACGTGTCAAATATCAAATCCCAGCACCTGTATCGGCCACGTGGGAGATGACTAAGCGAAGGGGGAATCCAGACTACTCACTTTGTCGTCCAAGAAAGCCACCCTAGTCCCTTTTGTCTTAGAATATATAATATCTATGCTTGTTTTGTTTTCTTCCCGGTCTACCATCTCTGTGCAATATCTCATTGTCTTAAAACACAATTGCGTCACCTACATCTCTTCGTTAGCCGGACATTCCCCTCTCCAACTGGGGATGTGGTTACAGCTCAACAGATTTGAGATAGCAAAATGCAGAATGCCAAAGACTGGCAGACTGTAAATGATTTACCATCAGGTTAGCTATCTCTAAATTGATCGTGATCGGTTTCTAACTATGTTCTGGCAGACTTGAAGCGTGCCCTCTCCGCAATTTCAGAAATCCCTGACGCTCTCTTGCGAGCAGAACTTCTTCGGCGAGATGGAGCTTCAGACGATACACCGGCATGCGGATCCAAGGACCGGGGGGCCTATAACACCCCGTTGCATGTCATGGCACTGTTCCTCATCCTTGGACTGAGTACATTCGGTATGCCCTGACTGGCTTTCTCTCGGATCTCTCGAGTTGGCCATTACTAATGCTGAAACTATAATAGCTTGCTCTTTTCCGGTTTTGGCGCGCCGTTTCCCTGGTCTCCCCATTCCCCGTCGGTTCCTCTTTATATCGAGACATTTTGGAACGGGTGTATTGATAGCGACGGCATTTGTCCATCTGCTCCCCACTGCATTCGTCTCTCTGACCGATCCATGTCTCCCCCGATTTTGGAGTCAAACATATCGTGCTATGCCAGGGTTTGTTGCAATGATATCGGTCTTTGCAGTCGTTATCGTGGAAATGTTCTTCGCGATGAAAGGCGCAAAGCACGTGCACGGAAGCGAATATGATAATCTCATTGGCGAGGTCAGGTGTGACTCAATACTCCACGGGGGAAATCCAGTCGATTACTCGGGGATAGAGGCCCAGCAGGTTTCAGATAGTATCTATCTAGATAGCATGGGGAATAACTCGAAGTCGCGGGCGACGAGAGCTTCAGGCTCGTCCCATGAATCGGACCGCCCTCACCTGGCGAACTCATCACCGGATAAAGAGGATGATGAGGATGACCTTGATGAGCTGGATGATTACATGGATGATGACGGGCTTATCAGTGGACAAGCAGCCCATTCTGCGCAGTCACGGCCTGTCCACCGACATCGACCCCGTGAAAGCGAAAGCCACCGACAGCAGACCGACACAGATGCGCCGATCCAGAATCCGCAACGTCAGCTTCTACAATGCCTCCTCTTGGAAGCTGGCATTTTGTTTCACAGCATCTTCATCGGGATGGCGCTCAGTGTTGCGACTGGCACCTCCTTCGTCGTCCTGTTAATTGCAATCAGTTTTCATCAGACCTTTGAAGGTTTTGCCCTAGGATCTCGGATTGCGTCGCTCATTCCAGATCTGTTCGCTCCTAATTCAATGAAACCATGGCTTATGTCACTGGCATACGGAACAACAACTCCCCTTGGCCAAGCTATCGGTTTGGTTCTACACAATCTCTACGATCCTGCCAGCGCAACAGGTTTGCTGATGGTTGGCATCACCAATGCAATTAGCAGCGGTCTTTTGCTCTTCGCGGGGCTAGTGGAACTCCTCGCCGAGGACTTCCTGAGTGAGTCGAGTTATGAGACTCTCAGGGGCAGACGACGTGTTGAGGCTTGTGTGTCTGTTGCCTGCGGTGCTCTCCTTATGGCATTCGTCGGAGCCTTTGCTTGAAAGCATTAATTATTGTTCTGTGGGATGTTTCCATTATAATGTCTGATAGATTAACGAAGCAAGCGACTTTCCCTTTCTTTAAATGTATAGCAGATTAATAACACTTTATTCATTTCAGGAGTTACATGTGGATGTGCAGTACTCCATACATCCCGGAGGATTCTCATGAAATACATAAAACACACTTGACTCATCTCACGCCGGCCTAATGACTTTAGCGGGACTACCCACGGCAACACTCAGGGCTGGTATATTGCGTTTTACCACGGAGCCAGCGCCGATGGAACATCCATGGCCGATAGTGACTCCAGCCAAGATCGTCACATTAGCTCCAATCCAGCAATCATCGCCAATGACAATGGGTCCCGTAAACTCCAGTCCTTTATGAGCCTTTCGCGCTTCGATCCCCGTCTCGTGTTCTCCCGTGATGATGTTGACATTGGGCCCAATCATGACGTTGTTCCCAATTGAAACTAAGCCACAGTCCAGGACAGTGAGACTGTAGGGGACTTTGTTCAGATTCGGTTCTTTTCTTTACAAAAAGTTCGACTCACTGAAAGTTGGCGAAGAATCCGCTACCTATACTGATATTGCAACCGTAATCCACGAATAACGGAGGCTCAAGGTATACTTCTTGCCCAACACGACCAAAGAGTTCTCGAAGTACGTCTTCTCGAGGAACTGCTTGCGATGGAGAGGCTTCCGAAAGCGGTGCGTTGAATATTGCCATTAAGCGTCTCGCTCGAGACCTGCCCTCTATGAGTTCGGGCCCTAGAGGGTTGTATCTGTATATAAGTTAGAACCGTTTGATCTTGCAATGAAAACTATACCAGAAGAGAGGTGCCCACGGGTATGTCTTACAGCATCCCCGATATCATTCGTTCATATTCCTCTCCCCAAAGACGATTCTGGAGGATCTTAGCTTTCTCGATGTTCTCATTGTCCTTTTCGGATTTAGGTATCATGACTGAGGTCCGAAATGTTATTGATATGTCGACAATCTTAGGCTATCGATGTTAATCTTCTCACCTGGGCAGAGTGAGTACGTTATAAATATTCTTGAGCCGCCCTATTCAGATATATTGATACCGTCCAAGACTCCGTGACCAATGAGTCCGAACAGAAATGGCAATAGAATACGAACTGAGTGTCTTGGCGTTGAAATGCTGGAAGATCGGCCCTCAAATCCGAACTGTTGTCTTCATCTGAGACCGACACGAAGCAACAAGCGGAATGTAGGATATAAACACACAAGGATATCTCATTAACTATTTTAGATACCGAAAAATGGTTCTGATACTGCGAATGTTCGTCGCTGCCGGATGGGGTATGCCTGCGGAAAACCATTGAGTATCTTCCCCGTCAAAAAATGAAGTTGGTATTTCATATGCAAAGATCGAAGGTCGTTTCACATCTCCGTTTTTTGTTAACAGAGTTTACTTTTTAAATGGACTCAATCACCAGGGCGCTGGCACCGCCACCACCGTTACAAATGCCGACGCAGCCAAGCTTGCCCCCCTTGGCGCTCAATACACCGAGCAGGGTAGACACAATACGGGCACCACTGGCACCGAGAGGGTGTCCAATGGCGACCGCACCACCGTGGATGTTGACCTTGTCCTCAGAGAGACCAAGGAGCTTCAGATTGGCAAGAGCCACAACACTGAAGGCCTCGTTGATCTCAAAGGCATCGATGGAGTCCTGGGTCACACCAGCGTGCTTCAGGGCCTTGGGAATAGCCAAAGCAGGAGCAGTGGTGAACTTGCTGGGCTTTTGCTCGGCATCACCCCAACCCAGGATCTTGGCAATAGGCTTGAGGCCGAGCTCCTTCACCTTAGCCTCGGAAACCAAGACAACGGCGGCGGAACCGTCGTTCAGGGGCGAAGAGTTGGGGGCGGTCACGGTTCCAGTGCCGGGGATGAAGGCGGGCTTCATGGCGCGGAGCTTCTCAGGGTTGAGCTATAAGCCGCGAAGAATGGTTAGTCAAAGTCAAAATAATTGAACGCAAACAAGGGGTACTCACATTCTTGGGCTCTTCATCCTGGGAAACAGTCACACCAGGCTTGCCACGGAAGCCGGGGATCTCAATAGGGGCAATCTCGTAGTTGAAAGCACCGGCCTTCTGGGCAGCCTGGGCCTTTTCATAGCTGCGGATAGCATAGTCATCCTGTTGGGCACGGTTAAAGCCATGGTCCTCAGCGCACTCCTCGGCCGCAACTCCCATGAGATCCTGCTTGCCATAGGCATCAGTCAAACCATCCTTCTGGATACCATCGACCAGGGTCTGGCTGCCAAATTTGGTACCGCTGCGAGAGGTTTGCAAGTAGTGAGGGGTGTTGGACATGGACTCAGTTCCACCAGCAACAACAACATCGGCGTTTCCGGTCATGATAGTCTGGGCACCGAGAATGATGGCCTTCAGGCCAGAAGCGCAGACCTTGTTGACAGTGGTGCAGACGGTAGATTCGGTAAGGCCAGCACCGATGGCGCACTGTCTAGCTGGGTTCTGTCCAACACTATAAACGAAAACAGGTCAGTCTCAATTGCGCTATAAGATGCGTAGCAAAGATGACTTACCCGGCAGACAAGACGTTGCCGAAGAAAACTTCTTCGACATCAGAGGCATTGATGCCCTCAGCCCGCTCGACAGCCGCTGTAGATAATCATTAGCATTGAAGATGAGTATGATATAGTTTGGGTGATATGCCATACACTTGATGGCGTGTGCACCAAGCTGGGGAGCAGTCAAGCTGGAGAGGGAGCTACAGTAACCAATGTCAGATCAAGTCTTCAGGGGGGTAGTAGAAGGATATAGGAATGCCTACCCCAGAAACGACCCCACGGGAGTACGGGCAGTAGAAACAATGTAGACGGGAGGAAGAGAAGACATCTTTGGGAAACAAAAGGGTGGAAGTAGAGAATATGAGAAGAATATACAGACAGAAGTAGAGAAATATCCAGATCAAAGAGGGGGTGGGTATCTATAAGAGTGAAATTGTACGGTGGGGAGTGAGGAGCTGTACGGTGTAGGCACGAGTACTCCGAAAGACGCTCGGACCAAGTGAAAGTTGAGATCCTCAAGTTCTCCGGCACGCGTCTGGAGCTACGGTCCCCTCTCTTTTTCCTAAACGCCCACACGTTTCTACAATTAATTATGGATGACCTCTATGATGAGTATGTTTATTTAACTGATTGAGTCCACAACTTTGCTAATTGTGCCTAGGTTTGGTAACTACATCGGCGACGTGGAATCCGACGAGGAGGATCATGAAGATGTCCAACCTCAAGCCTTCAAGTTTGATGAGGCTTTTGATGAAGAAGAAGAGGAGATAAATGATCAACAGTTGATGGAAATTGACGGTATGTCAAGATGTCTTATTCACAGTCTGCAACCTCGCTGATTTTATGTCTTCTTCCCCAGAGGGTCCTTCGAATGCGGTCATATTACACGAAGATAAGCAATACTACCCCAGCGCACAACAGGTTTACGGCGAGGATGTCGAAACTATGGTTCAGGAAGAAGATGCCCAGCCATTGTCAGAGCCCATCATTGCCCCCGTCCAAGAGAAGAAATTTGCGATTGCAGAGACTGAACTCCCACCCGTACACTTCTCTCGGGAGTTCATGTCTGATCTCCTGAACTTCCCGGCACAGACAAGAAATGTCGCAATCGTTGGTCACCTGCACCATGGAAAGACTGCTTTCATGGATATGCTGGTCAAACAGACGCACGACTTAACAGAGCGGTTGGAAAAGCGCACAGGACGGAAAAGAGAAGAACAGCTGCGATACACTGATGTCCATTTCCTAGAGAGAGAGCGGGGTGTATCAATCAAGTCGGCACCGATGAGTCTTGTTCTCCAAAGCACTAAAGGGAAATCTCACCTGCTCAACCTCCTTGATACCCCCGGGCATGTGAATTTCGTCGATGAGGTGGCTGCCTCTGTCCGCCTAGCCGATGGTGTGGTACTGGTTGTGGATGTTGTCGAAGGTGTTCAGGCTAACACCGAGCAAATTATCAAACATGCAGTATTGGAAGATCTTCCCTTGACTTTGGTCGTCAACAAGATGGATCGACTCATTCTCGAGCTGAAACTTCCTCCCAACGACGCCTACTTCAAATTGAAGCATGTGATTGAAGAGGTCAATACGATCATCGAGAACGTTTTGCCGGGGCAAGGCGAGCGACGACGACTGAGCCCCGAGAAGGGCAATGTTGCATTTGCATCAAGCTCGATGAATTGGTGCTTTACATTGCAGTCATTTTCCGGAATGTACGCAGACAATTATCCAAGCTTAGACTCGACAGAATTTGCCGCGCGACTTTGGGGTGACATCTTCTACAATCCCCAGAGCCGAAAGTTCACTCGCAAAGGAGTGGAAGAGAGCGCAAAGCGATCATTCGTCAAGTTTGTCTTGGAGCCGATTTACAAGCTCTACTCTCACACACTAAGCGAGAGCCCCGAGGATTTGAAACAGACTCTGGCCAGCGTCGGCGTCGATTTGAAGCCATCTCAGCTTAAGACCGATGCCAAGGAGCTGCTCAGTCTGGTCTGCGAGAAATTCTTTGGAACGGCTACTGGGTTTGTGGACATGGTTGTTCAGCACGTCCCTTCCCCGGTGGAAGGTGCGCAGAGAGCATTGGAGCGATATTACACTGGGCCTCTGGATACCAAGGTTGGGGCCTCAATGGTCGCTTGTGATCAAGACGGACCTTTGGTTATTCATGTCACCAAACTCTTCAGCAGTACCGATGCCGGCAGTTTCTACTCTTTTGGAAGAATTATGAGCGGCACCGCGCGGCCTGGTCAGCAGGTCCGTGTCCTCGGCGAGGGCTACACGCCAGAGGATGAGGAAGACATGGTGGTCGCAACCATCTCAGAGACGTGGATTGCGGAAACGCGTTACAACATCCCGACCAATGGTGTCCCCGCCGGAAATTGGGTTCTTTTGGGTGGCGTCGACAACTCCATTGTGAAGACTGCAACGCTGATGCCCCTGAAGCTCGAAGATGACGAGGAGGCGTACATCTTCCGTCCGATTCGGCACATGACCGAATCAGTGTTTAAGGTCGCCGTTGAGCCTGTCAATCCATCAGAACTCCCCAAGATGTTAGATGGTCTGCGGAAAATCAACAAGAGCTACCCCCTCATCTCAACCAAGGTTGAGGAGTCCGGCGAGCATGTGGTTCTAGGAACCGGTGAGCTTTACATGGACTGTGTGCTCCATGATCTCCGGAGACTATACTCAGAGATGGAGATCAAGGTCTCCGACCCCGTTACACGCTTCTGTGAGACTGTGGTGGAAACCTCTGCCATCATGTGTTACTCCATCACTCCGAATAAGAAGAATAAGATCACCATGATTGCGGAGCCTTTAGATGATGGGATTGCAGAGGATATTGAAAGTGGAAAAGTCAGCATCAAGGACCCTATTCGGAAGGTTGCTCGATACTTCGAGGACAACTACGATTGGGATAAGCTTGCTGCGCGAAGCATCTGGGCGTTTGGACCGGATGAAATGGGTCCCAATATTCTCCAAGATGACACTTTACCCTCTCAAGTGGATAAGAGACTTCTCGGTACTGTTAGGGACTCTATCACTCAAGGCTTCAGCTGGGGTACACGGGAAGGCCCTCTTTGTGAAGAACGTAAGTTTTGACTTCCCCTCCTCTCCTTCGCCAATGATCTTGCAGTCTCGGCGCAGATGACGGATGTGACACTAATTGAAGTTTAGCCATTCGAAACACGAAGTTCAGGCTCACAGAAGTGTCCCTGGCTGATCAGGCTATATACCGCGGCGGAGGCCAGATCATCCCTACAGCCCGCCGTGCTGTATACTCGTCGTTCCTTATGGCATCTCCGCGTCTCATGGAACCGATCTATTCTGTCACGATGACAGGACCTGCAGACTCCGTGGCTTCGGTGTACACAGTCTTGTCCCGCCGAAGAGGTCACGTCCTGTC